TGCACTCAGGAATAGTAATGCTTTGAAAAACACGTGATTCATTAAGTGAAAGACGCTAACTGAATAGTTAGAGATGCCGCAAGCAAAGATCATATAGCCTAATTGACTGCAAGTTGAATAAGTTATGACCCTCTATAGATGGTTCTGTAATATTCCAGTGGTTGCCGCAAGGAATGACATTGTAGCTCTTGCAAAAGTAATAACAATCAAAGCCGTAAGTGGGTATTCAAATAAAGGGGAGCACCTTGCTATCATGAAAACGCCAGCTGTTACCATAGTAGCTGCATGAATTGAAGCGGATACTGGAGTGGGCCCCTCTATAGCATGGAGTGACCAAGTATGCGATCCTATCTATGCGAATTTCCCAACAGCACTAATAAGAAGTAAAATACAAATGAGAGTTATGGCATTCAATCTCATATTGCAAGAAATCCAAGAATTTCTGGGGCACCAGCATGAGCAAAAATAGTTGAAAAGTCTACTGTTTGAAATAGAGTAAAACGACCCGAAATCCCAAGAGCTAATCCAAAATCACCTACTCGATTGACAGGCATAGCTTTTATAGCTGCTTTATCTGCCTGAAATCGTATAAACCAGAAATGAATTAACAAATATGAAGCAAGACCTACTCCTTCTCATCCTATAAATAATTGAAGAGACTTATCTCCAGTCACCAACATTGGCATAAAAAAAGTAAAAATGGATAAATAACACATAAATCGAGTGCTATGCGGATCCTCAGACATATATGAAATGGAATAAAGATGGACCAAGCTACTTATGAATGTAACCACAATTAGCATCACTATGGTCAGGCTATCGAACACAGAGTCAAAAGTGAATTTCGGATTGATTTGCAAATCGAGCTAGCTCCTCTTGCATGCAATGATGTGGTGATGAACCTCTCATTCTAGTTCAGTGCTCTCTGAACCGTGCGGAAGGTTTTCCATTCACACGGCTCACCAACTTGATCTTTCGCGGGAACCGTATGTCCGAACAGGCCTGGAAAAAGAGGTACGATCTCGCTTTCCTTTGCCACTCAAGTGTATGTACAGCATCTGTCGTGCTTAGGCCCCTTCTTCCCTTCCCCAATGAAAGAGTCCACCGCCTACCTTAGTAGTCCTTAGTAGTCAGTCTCAGCGTGCAGGCTTGCCTTTTAGTAGGTGATTCAGCGAAGAAAAGGGGGAAGAAAAGGATAGATCAAGAAAAGGGGGTACTACGAACCCTCTGCCCCACACATCTAACCTGCTCGCGTGGTTCACTGATTCGACCAACTAGAAAGAGTGAAAAAGTGATACAATGCGCTTAAAGTGGGGGTGTGCTGTCACTATTGGGGTGAGCCCTTCCCCACCTTCCCCATAAGGCCCACCATCGGGGACAGAGGTGCGCTTAAAGTATTGGGGTGAGCCCTTCCCCACCTTCCCCATAAGGCCCACCATCGGGGACAGAGGTGCGCTTAAAGTGGGGGTGTGCTGTCCCTATTGGGGTGAGCCCTTCCCCACCTTCCCCATAAGGCCCACCATCGGGGACAGAGGTGCGCTTAAAGTGGGGGTGTGATGGCCCTATTGGGGTTGGCCCTACCCCATAAGGCCCCACCATCGGGGCATAAGCGCCCTCTTGCTACCCATATATATCGAATCACCAACTACCAAGTAAATAGTGTGGGGATGTGCTGTCCCTATTAGGTTGGGCCCTTCCCCATACGGGTCTCGGCATAAGCGCCCTCTTACTACCCATATATATGGAATCACCAACTACCCATAGTCTAAGTCTTTTTTTCTAGGAAGAGTCTAGCCTAGCCATATTATAGGCCCGGTTCAAATTGAACAATTGTTGACTATCTCACATTGCCTAACATTCAATCAACCTGAAATTTTAGGTTGGTCCAAAAGATTTTTTCAACCCTACTCGAGTTCACTTCTAACTAGTAGAAATGTAACTCGTGTTACATGATTTTCTTATTGAAGAGGAGGAAGGTATTTCAAAACTTTAAAGCATCAAGGAAGAAAACATTAGGGTTAATGGTTTATTATTTAAAAAAATTAATATATGAATGTAAGAAATAAATGAAGATCTTATAACTTGAAATATGAGAATAACTTTATAAAATGTACTTGCTCCACAATAATGCAAGAACCTTATTCAAAAAGGAATTATTTCTTTATTAATTTTTTTAATTTGAATTTATAAAAGTATATTTTTAGCTGTTTATACTTTATTTATTTTCATACTGGGTGTCAAGGGTTGTCTATAGAATTAATTGTTATAATACTAAAAGTATTTATAAATTAATAAAGATCAACAAAGGGAAATTCTGAAAATCTAACTCTTTATTCATAGACAAAAAAGGAGGCTAATCTACCATTACAACCTTAATTAATCAAAAACTAAGAGTTAGTTCTAACATTATTAGCGGTTAGAAAGCTGTTCCAACTTAAAAAAGACTTAGTTCACCCGAGCACTTCTCATACTCCAAGCACTTAAATACTCCACCGTGATAGACTCTGTTCCATTGTTGAAAACATGCAAATGAGCATCCCCAAACACCGCCTTTGTTGGGTATACCCTCGAAGTTATGCATGTTTTTCCTCCTCCACCAAAGCTCTCTATCACCGAGTGATCAATCTGCACAATAATACATAGTTTAGATTTGTCGATACGGTGCGAGAATGTATTGGACTATGACTTTAACGTACCAAGCTTCTTAATGAGAGCTTTTTACTTGACAAATCGATGTCGACGAAACCCGCAAATGTCGGCTTGTATAATCCATCTTTCAAAGATGAGCTACACCAAAAGAGACAAACCAGAGCTTTGTAAATATAAAAAAATAATTATAAGGTCCTTTGATAAGGGAATTGAAGCTACCTTCTTGCATCAGAGCACATAAGAACCACGTGATTAGCCTCTGCCTTGAAGATCCTGAAGAACACAGGAGTGAACTCCTCGAGGTTTTCTGAAGCCAGAGTCAAAAGCCCAAAGGGTCCGACACCACCTTGGGCCGTGGATCCCAGCTGACTGCACACGGCTTGCGCGTCAACCCAACTTGGATCAAATGCCTCCGCGTTATCCAAACTCGAAAAGCTAAAGATAACTTCAACATCGGCCTGTATAAAACACAAGAAACAATCGATCAAATGACACCCAGTTTGTTCCCTTAAATCTTAGAGGTGCTTTCACATCTTCTTAACCCGCTACAAACCACTGTCGGGGATTTGGGTTAAGATCGGATTCGTTATAAATTAAACAACCTGAGCCGCAGTAATTCCTTTGATCTCAACATTTTGTCCCTTGACTAGCTTTTGATTTAACATCATAACTATCTTCCGTCTCAGCCTATTGAGCTCCATAACTGGCCATTGTAAGAGCTGCTTTCCATTGGGATCCAACCACACCGTCCTAGGAATCGCCTAGGAAAAGGAGAAAGAAAAGGTTGACCCAAATACAAAATAGAACAAATTCAATTAAAAAAAGAACAAAACGGAGCACATTGGATCTAAAACAAACCTGAATTCCCGCCCATCCCTTGGAAACATCATCCTGGACACTATCAGATTCATTAGCCCAACCCCACAAAACCCTTCTCTTCTTCATCGGATCATAGAACGACTTGGAAGCATAGAAATTGCCATAGTCATACCTCAGCCCACTCCACCCATCCGCCGAGGTATTATCGGGAACATACTTGTCCGTCATCGGATAATACTTCCCCAGCGTATAATACTCATATCTAGTCATCTCCAAGCTCACCTTCAACACATGTTTAAACCAATTTCCCATCACCGACGTGTCCAAGCCAAATCTACCGAAGTGGGAAACTGGGTAGAAATCAGGGCACTCCCACATTCCAGTATTCGGAACCGAATGTAAAGGCTGTTCCACCTTAGTCCAATTCAAAAAATCCCTACTTCTATACAAATACGCCATTCCCGTCTGCTCGCTCCTACTGCCAATGATGGTGTTCCAGTGACCGTTGAGGGTCAGCCACGCCGTCGACGGGTCCCGAAAGGCGCTACTATTGACCTCCGTACCCGGGTCAACAATCGGATTGTTATCCGATTTGACCCACTCGGTTAGATGCGGATCAGAGAGGTTCGCTGGAATGGCGTAGTTTTGTACCTGTCGATTCTGGGTGTCGATTCCAGTGTACAAAATGACGGGCTTGAGGCCGGGGAGGACGGTGGCGGAGCCAGACCAGCAGCCATTGATATCAAAGGGCTTTGAGGGGGAAAGCGCGGGTTTGAGTGACTTCCAATTGATAAGGTCTTTGGAAATTGAGTGAGCCCAGACAATATTCCCCCAAACCGCGCCTTCAGGGTTGTATTGGTAGAAGAGATGGTAGATTCCCTTGAAGTACATTGGGCCATTCGGGCCTGCATAAGATGACATGTTTATGGAGGGAATGAACCGGAGGAAATACATTGTTAACAACCGGAGGAAAGGAGGGAATGAAAATGTAGAAATTACGAACCGTTCATCCAGTGATGATGAGGTTGAAAGTGGAAGCCGGTTCGATGGAGCTGCTTGATCTCAGTGGTGGTGTCGTTGCCATTTTCGAGAGACTGTAATTCAGGATAGATTTTATGGAGAGCTTGAACGACGACAGGGCCATTGCCAATAAACAGAGAACAAAAGGAGAATCCGAAAAGAATAGCTAGGAGAGTGAAGAAATTCATTGTGGAATTTGGTTTGTTAGTGGAGTTTGAAGTGAAGAAGAAATGAGAGTTTGATACTATTTATAGAGGAAGAAATATAAATTTAGTCTAAAAATAGGACAAATTGGTTAACTTAATCTCAAACTTTCAAACTTCCAAAAATGTTAAAAAAATATCTTATACTCAAGAATCTAAATTAATTTTTTAAAAAATAGGATTAATAGGTTTAAATTTTATTAAAAATGTTTTAATACACCGGTTTAAAATGTCTATTTACATTGGCAAATCATCTCTCACTTCCATTCTTTGCCTACACAAGAAGAAGAGGAAACCCACTCTCTTCTTTCTTCTTTTTTAGAACCAAGTCCTTGAAGACATAATAACAAT